CTGTGTGAAATGTCTTTGGGGGTACGTCATTTCTTGAGTGGCTAACTTTATGGAAGATAAATGGTGATTAATGGGTGATTTTGAGTCCTCTCTTTTATTGCAAATGAAATACAGTAACTTTCCAGTAATGATCTCTATCGCTCTCTCGTGGTGAAGCGCCCTCAAAGATGTTTAAGATGTAGTTAAACTTGATATGTTGTAGCATCATCATATCTTAATGTAAGAATCAACATTTTGAGTGAAATATATAAATTGGGTTACTCTATCTAGTCTTATTATAATCTGTCCCTTCACACTGCACACCTGATACTGTCAAACTTTTGGTGAAAAATCAGTCCAACAATTTATAACTGTTGCCCAAGAATGTTCATTTTATGCTGAATTTATCCCTTCCTGCTGCTCTAGATGGCAGCTCTGAATATGATGCTTTCTTTGCATCTGTACTGTGAAAGACACTTGTTACTCTTTGTAATCTTATTAAACTCTTCTGAGAGAAACTGAATCACAGAGTTGAATTAGCAGGGGCTAATCTTCCATCCAGGGATCCCTGCCAAATGTCTTAGGAAGTCCTGTTTCAGAAGCTTATTTTAAATGAGAACAGGTGACAGCCTCTGAAGAAGAAAATAATTACGGCTGTGTATTGTTGATTTGAGATCCTCACAGTAATGAGTGTGAATAGCTTTGTCTTCTGTAATATAATGCCATGTAGTCTGGTGAAGTTCAACCCATGCTTTGCTAGAATCTTGGTGCCTGCTTACCATACTCTTTGGCCCAGAAGATGCAGGCAGTACAAGAACTCTTCATGAATGTGAATCACCAACATAGAAAGATTTTTCTATTATCAGTTTGAGATTTCTGATCATGGTCTGTAGTAATGTGATCTTATGTTGTATTTTGCTGTTAATTAAGATAGTCGTAATGGTTTGGAGCACTGGTCGTGTTGAAGTCGTTGACTCCTGTAATCTGAATGACAAGAAAAACCAAATAAAAGAGTTTTGGAGGACAAATCTGCCAATGAAGAAAGCAGTCTTCTGGGATGTGGCACCGTGTATATGTGGTGTTAACCGACGTTTCAGAGGAAAGTGTCGCCTCCATCTTCAGGGTAGAAGGAAAAATATAAGAAATCTGCAGGCGAAGAGACCATGAGAACCGGTACAAGCAGACTGGTGTTGGAAATNGTGTAGACTTGCTCTTCCCCTCTTCCTTCACTGCTGTCACATAGCTGTGTATATTTCCAACACCAGTCTGCTTGTACCAGCTCTCACAGTCTCTTCGCCTGCAGATTTCTTATATTTTTCCTTCTACCCTGAAGATGGAGGCGATACGTTCCTCCGAAACATCGGTTAACACCGCATATACACGGTGCCAAATCCCAGAAGACTGCTTTCTTCATAGTCACCACCGTGAAAACCTCAAATCTTACAAATCTATCAATGTTGTTTAGCTGGTTATGGACTCTTAACCCAGGTATCAGTACCCATTTAGAAATGTCATGCAGTGCCAGCAGTGGATTGGCTGTTTTCTGCACACAGATCCTTGTTCTTCACATCCAAATCATCCCCATTTGCATGGTGGATGTATACTACTCTGTCCAAAAAGTATCCGACCTTGGGCCAGGAAAAAAAGTTCTGTATCTGGGTGGTTACAATACCTAATTGCCTTCAAAGTAGGCCCCTTGTGATTCCACACACTTAGTCCAGTGGTCCTTCCATCGCTGGAAGCAATTCTGGAAGGCTTCTTTTGGAATGGAGTGCAGCTGCACTGTCACATTCTGTATGATGCCCTCACGGCTGTCAAAACGGCAGCCTTTAAGTGGTGCCTTCAATCTCGGGAACAGCCAGAAATCACAAGGAGCCATATCAGGAGAGTAGGGAGCCTGGCAAACCTGCGGAATGCCATGCTTGGCCAGGAAACCCTGGATCAGGTGGGATGAATGAGCTGGGGCATTGTCATGATGCAGCTGCCAGTTGCGTGCATCCCACAGCTCCGGTCTCTTCCATTGAACTGCATCACGAAGATGGTGGAGGACTTCTTGGTAGTACTCCTTACTGACAGTCTGGCCTAGTGGTGCGTACTCATGATGCACAACACCCTGGTAATCGAAAAAACAATCAGTATCACCTTCACATTGCTCTGAACCTGTCGTGCCCTTTTGGGCCTCGGGGATGTTGGATGCTTCCATTGTGACGCCTGGACCTTGGTTTCTGGGTCATATCCGTACACCCACGACCTGTCACCAGTGATCACAGTCTTCAGGAATTCAGGATCCCTGCTGGCGCACTCCAGCATGTCCTGCGCGACGTCAAGATGGAGTTGTTGCTGCTCCGGTTAAAGCAGCTTGGACACAAATTTTACCGCCACTCTTGGCATGCCCAAATCCTCAGTTAAAATTGTGTTTGAGGAACCTCTGCTGATCCCAACCTCATCAGCAACTTCATGGATGGCCAAACGATGGTCCTCAATGATCAGTGTCCGCACTTTTTCAATGACATCAGCATTGATGGTCTCCCGGAATGCTGCTCACTGTCTGCTGACATACAGCCGTGTTTAATGCGGTTGAACCACTCTTTAATTTGAGTGACCCCCACTGCATCATTGCCGAAAGCCTGCTGAATTTTGTGAATTGTTTCCACTTGGGTATCCTCAAGTTTCTGACAAAACTTAATGCAGTATCACTGTTCCAAGCATTCTGTCATCTTGAGCGAAACGAGAATGCAACGAACACGTGTTACACCACTTCGCTATCTGGCAATGTTGCGAGTCAGCTAAAAATCATGCGCATGCATGCATTCCCCACCCCTTTGGCCATTACTTACAGCGGAAAAAAATAAAGTCAGATACTTTTTGTACATACGGTATACACACATCTACAAACTGCATTAAAATTTATTTTCAGAGTTTTGCCGTATTGCCTTTCATTCAGCAAGAACTAATCTGCAGTATAAATAGTGCACTAGAACTTTATTACTGCTGTAGTAACTTTTGGGCCAGTGAAATATGTGATGAATCTTAATTATCTTCAACACATCCCCATGATCAACCTTAATAATGGAAGAATTTTTGTTACATAACTAGCAAGATGGCTGTTGGGGGAATGTCTTAAGATTAGAAGGTAATCTCTAACTTCCTTTGTAGAATCAGTTTATCTTACCAGATTAAGTTGAGTGATAACACAGGAATGTTCTTTTGCTGTTGTGATATACAGATAGCATTAATAGGATGTGCCACAGGAAATTGCATAGGTTGAACTATGATCAGCTTTTCTCTTATCTAGTGTCCTTCATGTCAGTCAGTGTTCCCTATTCTTTTCTCATGACCACATAATTTTAGCCATTTCTCTTTGAATTCAACATATGTTGTAGTCCAATTTCTCCTCCAAAATTTTCATTTCTAATTCTCTCCCTTGTTTTTCCAGCTATTTCAAAGAGGTCATGGCATTTCTGTGAAATAGTCTTCAGTATGGTGAATGTTTGAGGAATTATTACACCCTAAACCTCATTGATTCCTTTGAATAAAGTGGATCGCCTGATCATTCAAGCATGGTGATGCTAGACAGAAGTGACTTTCATATATCATGGACTACATCTGCATCTTCTCTAAGGCAGTTGATGTGGTGAATGATGTGACCACAGGATTTGAGGTTTTCACAGAGTAATGTCCCAGAAGACAGAACTTTGCAGTGTTGTGACTGGTCATTTTATTTGTACATGAAGTATGTGCAGGGAGTCTGTTGTTCTTATCCTAGAGAAAGCCGCTGGGGAACAGTGAGAGTCAAGCCGTCAGACGTCACCTACAGCCACAGTAGCAAATTTTATCTGCCTTGGATGCTGAGCCATCATAACTTAATAAACATGATGATTACATCAGATCTTCGTCAAGTCATAAAAATAGGTACAGCATTCATTCATACTGAGGAATATCTCATGTTGCAAGAAATTCTATGTCTGGATTAGTATGATAATGTCCTTGAGGGTTAGGGCTGGGGCAGGATCGAAATTTATAACTGCCTACAACTATTTTCTTAGAGAAAAGTCCTAAGGAAATTTGGTGCATGTTTTTATTGATATTTATCAGTAATTATGAGGCATATCATTGTTGTCAGCATCGTACAAAACTGTATCTAAAACATCCCTTTCACAAGGTTAAATCAATAAAGGAAAAGTAAAGCTATCCTTGTAACAGATGTAGAAGCCCATGGAGTTGTGAGACAATTCTAGACAATCAGCTCATAGATGGTGGTCAGGTTATCAGCCTTATGCACTTGCCACCCTTAACACCCCTGGAAGATTCCTGTTACTCATGTGTGTTAGTGGCTGAGTCAACCCGAGGGCCATAGAGCAGCTGGAAGGATTAGGTCAATCGAAAAATCCAGTGACCTCCTCAGGAATCAAACTCACGATCTTTTGCCTTATAGCATAGTGTCTCAACCAACTACACTATTGCATGCCTCCCAGGTTAAGCCCATATGTAAATGAAATTACTGGGGATCATTAGTGTGGGTTTCAACATAACAAATCAAGTACTTAGCAGATTTTTTGCATTCACCAGACACTGGACAAAAGATGGGAGTACAATTAGACAGTACATCAGCTATTCATTAGACTTCAAAAAAGTCTTGATTCATTTAGGAGGGAAGTGTTCCCCAGCATTCTTTTTGAGTTTGAGGGCCTTCTTGGCCCTTGCACTGCAACCACAGTGATCTATTGTGCCTCTTTTTGAGTTTGGTATACCATGAAACTAGTTAGGCGAATTAAAATATTTATAGCAGAATACAGTACTACTATAAAATATCTGAGCAAATCCTATTATTCCAAGAAATTTTACGAGTATAAAAATAACCCAACAAAAAAAGTGTGGCAGCGGTGGGATTCGAACCCACGCCCTTTCGGACTGGTGCCTAAAACCAGCGCCTTAGACCGCTCGGCCACGCTACCGACAGCCTAGCCGTTGATGTGCACCAGTAAGACACGGCATCATTAGATCCAGCAGGCAGTGAGATCGTATCTAGGTGGCTGTGGTTTGAGTTTGTGGAGCCGAGGCCATGTTCACGTAATCGTATTAGATTGTAGTGGAGGTAGTGGAGGTGGTACGCATGGTCGTCGTTGTTCACTGCAGTTCGTAAGAGACGGACGTCAAATGTCAAGTAACATGGGAGGGAGCCAACATTCTGCTATCAGCTTTCACCGAGTGTGGGTAGGGAGTAGTCTAAAGAGATACAGGTTGTTGTTAGTTTTGTTAGCCTGTTATCTGTAGGGGTTGGCAATGTCAGAGTTAGAAACAGTTAGTAAGGAACTAGCGAAGTTCAATCAGTCACACGTTTTAAGATTTTGGGATGAACTAACGGATGAACAAAAAACAATATTGTCTAATGAAATTAAAGAAGTGAACGTGGCAGAAGTATGTTCTTACTTCAAAAAGTCTGTGGAGACTTTGAACGAAGATCAGTCGAAGTTGGATGATCGCATGGAGCCGATACCGCCGGAACTGTATGGAGGAGTCATTAGATCGTCACCTGAGGAACTGAAGTCGTATGAACATGAAGGGCTGCAGCAAATCTCCGAAGGAAGGGTAGCCGTTCTCCTTATGGCAGGAGGTCAGGGTACCAGATTGGGGGTGTCATATCCAAAAGGTATGTACGATGTGGGACTTCCTTCACGCAAACCGCTGTTTCAGCTGCAGGCAGAGAGAATTAGGAGGCTGGAAGACCTGGCATATGACAGGACAGGTAAACGTAGCAATATTACATGGTATATCATGACAAGTGAGGCCACGATGGATGCAACTGAAGATTTCTTTAAGAAACATGATTTCTTTGGACTTAATAAGAATAATATTGTTATGTTTGAACAAGGGTTGCTTCCTTGCTTTACATTTGATGGCAAAATTATTATGGACGAAAAATGGAGAATAGCAAGAGCACCAGATGGCAATGGAGGAATTTATAGAGCTTTGCGAGACATGAAGATTTTTGATGATATGGAAAAGAGAGGCATAAAGTATCTTCATGCACATGCTGTGGATAATATTCTTGTTAAAATAGCAGATCCCGTGTTTATTGGCTACTGTGTGCAGAGGGATGCAGAATGTGGTGCCAAAGTAGTTGACAAAGCATCACCACAAGAAGCAGTGGGTGTCATTTGTAAAGTTGATGGACAGTATCAGGTTGTGGAATACAGTGAAATAACTTCAAAGACTGCAGAGAAGCGTAACAGTGATGGAAAGCTAACTTTCAGTGCTGGCAACATCTGCAATCATTTCTTCACCACAGAATTTCTTCACAAAATTGTGCACAGATTTGAATGCAATCTCCAACTTCATGTGGCCAAGAAAAAGATTCCGTATATTAATGAAAATGGTCAGCGCCTCAAGCCCGACAAACCAAATGGGATAAAGATGGAGAAGTTTGTGTTTGATGTATTTCCATATGCAGATCGTTTTGTCATATGGGAAGTAAAGAGGGAAGAAGAATTTAGTCCCCTTAAGAATGCAGATTCTGCAGAGAAGGAGAATCCAACAACGTGCCGGAGCGACATATTTTCCCTACATCGCCGTTACATTCAGGACGCAGGTGGCATTGTGGAAACTAATGGGACGCCCATCATTTGTGAGATTTCTCCCCTGGTGTCATATGCAGGAGAAGGCCTTGAGAAGGTAGTGTCAAAGAAGAAATTCAAGCCTCCAGTTCTGTTAAGATCCTCCTATGAGGAAGCCTTGTGCTCAAATGGTTGCACAGAATACCATTAATGAGCATGTCAGTGTGCCTTCAGTTCCTGAAACACTTGCTCCTCCAGGGAAGACATTTTTTCTTCTAGCATAAAGAATATTTTTCCCTAATTACTTTTGTCTCCTTGAAACTGTGGACAGTACCAGTAAGCGGTTTCGTGGTGGTGGGTGTCTCTGGATAAGGAAATACTAGAATGTGGTTCACCTCTACATATTTCTTTCATTCTAACTTCCAAGGTCAACTTTCTCAGACAGCAAAAGAGCAAAAGTGAAAGTTGATTGTACCGTTACAGCTGTACAGTCTGCTGCATAATCAATGTGATACTTCTGGTTCCTGATGCATAGCTGTGGCATATTGCTACTGCTTCTGGGATTTTATTTATCACAGAAATACTTTTACATTGAATTTGGTTCAATGATGTTAGTGGTGCCAGGGCATACATACCCATTTAGTATTATTTTTATATACTATTACGTACATACATAATACATGATTATGTAGAATCATAAAAATATTGGAAGTGAAAATATAAATTTTTACACTTGTATAGTATAAGAATTTGCAGTTTTTTGTAAATAGTGGGGAATTTTATATTTAATATAAATGTTATTTTTAAATTGATGTTGATGTAAAAATAGGACATGTATTATGTAAAAAACATTCCATATTCTTGTATGTAATAAGTTTTATAAAATTTTAATTTAACTTAATTTAACATTAAGAAAATAATAAGATTATGTTATGACATAATACATGTGATATGAACATGTAAAATTGTGGCTTGATGTATGTATGTGTACATATGCAGTCCGGTGAGGGTTAAAGGTTTTTCATATTGGCAGTGTACTTAATTTGTGATACAGGATATTGTTATATTTTGGTTGTCTGGTGAATTGAGGTCCTGGCCTTAGTTGCTTGTCTGTTCATGTAGTTTATCTGATTCTTTTATGGTTTTGTTTGCTTTTAATAAATGTGTGATAAAGTGATTTATCATGTATTTATTCCTGAGTGTCGGCTTGAAAGATCAGAGCTCTGGAACATAAGTTCATTGCAGCCTCAGGTAAATAAAAATATTCCTGTCAAATCCTTGGTATAGTCCTACTATAGCAAAGTTGTATGTATGTACATAACTTGGCCGCACCATAGCTCAAGCGGTTGGTCACTGGCTTCCCACTGCGGCGGCCCGGGTTCGATCCCGGGTCTGGTCAAGTGGGATTTGTGGTGGACAAAGTGGCGCTGGGGTGGGTTTTCTCCAAGTACTTAGGTTTCATCTCCACAGGGACAGTGATTTTTTTTCCAATCTGATCTTTTGTATTTTCTGTTTTAACTCCTGATTAGCTTCTGTTGTATTTCATGTAGAAGAAAATTGCTGATCTGTTGGACAGAATTATAGGTTGTGCCAGCTTTTCATGCTTCAATTCCATGTGCCTGCTGACAATTCAGAAAAATAGAGCAGTGTCAATAAGTCAGGCATGAAAATTGTCTGTAATTGCCAGAAATTTAAATTATTTGTAACTATTCAAGTATTCAAGTGTATTCCTGGTTCAGTTGAAAATATTTATTGCCAAGACTTCATTGTCAGGTGGCCCTCTCAGAATTCTGTCAGTAGCCTTTTGGAAGGTGGAGCAAAACTCACAAATAGTCGATCGCAGAACGTTGCCTTTATATAGTATAATGCACGTCACATACCCGCATCAAAACAAAGNGAGGTGAGGCAAGGAACAAACTCGATACTGAACTTGTGTCATGTCATCATAACTGTTCTTGAATTATATCTGTGTAGATTATAGGTTCTGACGATGGTGGATGACGCACAGAATTACTTAGGTTTTGGACTTTTTCATTCATTCAGAATTCTAGGTAACAGAGGACACTCTAGGCAATAGAGGAAATGACATTTTGGAAACTGGATCTGTTTCCGTCTTCTTTTCCCACCTGAAGACGGAAACAGATCCAGTTTCTGAAACATCATGTCCTCTATTACCTAGAATTCTGGACGATGGCAAAAGTCCAAATCCCCAGTAATTCTGTGAATTATATTTGTGTCATGTGTCTGTTCTTGGATGGTCCTCAGCCCACTGGCCCGTAGTGCAGAATGCTGGACCCAGAAGGTTGGTGTAGTATTTGAAAGGTGCTAGGTTAGAATCTGAGCTGCAACACAGGCTTTGCCCTGCAGGGTTTTTTGTGACTTTCTCGAATTCTTTCCAATTTGATGCCAGGATGAGTACCTAACTTAGGCCAAAAACTGCTTCCTTCCAGATCCTTTTGAGTCCATTGCGTGCCATCATCTGACCATTTGACACTATAGATACTGGCATGATAAAACATAAAAAAGTTATTTAATATTGTAGCACTTAAAATTATCTCAGTCTGGAAATATTTTTAGAGTAGTCACATCCCAGCCTGGAAGCTTTTAAATCAGTGGAGGAAGCATTCTGTTAAAACTGTAAAAGAGCTTCATGCCAACCCGGTTTTATTTGTTCTTTTTCCTTAGTTTAAGCAATACCAACATGGCAGACTTGTTGCCATCTGGAATGTTTTGTGCATATTGGCAAGTGCCAGGGGATTCAGAACCATTTATTGCAACTGAGGAAATTTTATGAGCCATGCTGCTTCATTCTGTAATGAACTGTTAAAAAAAAGAGTAAAGGTTGTCTCTGTGCTGAATGAATTAAGCACTATGCCATGAAGGCGTATGGGGGCAGTAGATGTATAGATCCACATTTTCTTGACCTTGGCAATAGGTGGATGTGAGTGGTCAGGTTCACTCCCCAGCCACTTTACACCAGGGGAAAGAGTTCCCGGTACCCATTGGATAGGACGTTGGATGGACCCCAGAGCCAGTCTGGATGACATGGAGAAGAAAAAACTTTACTCTACAAGGACTCGAACTCCAACCCCTCAGTTCTCCAGCCCCATAGCCAGTCACTATACCATCTATGCTATCTCAGACGCTGAATGATCTTATGTGTATGTTTAAAAAATAATATGTAGAGGTACTCATATTTTTTCTAAATTAATATGTAGATATATAATTATGGTGTCAAAAGAAAGAATAAAAACTCTTGTGTCATTCAAGGGACAAGATGATATTAAAAGGAAATGATTCTCCAACACACCCACCATCTTCAGTTGGAACACATTTTTGTTGTACGAGAGAGAAGGAGGCATACATGCAGGAATGTCAAAATTCCCGAAGAATTCAGAATAAAGAAGTTGTGTATTTAAACCATCAAAAGGTATAAAAGTACAAAAGTGACTACTGTAACACGTTAATTCTTCCACTTGTCTATGGTAGCAAAACCCGGAAGAAACTCATATTCACAACTGTCGATACAAAATTTGGAGAAGTGTGAAATATATGTTCTAAAACAATTTGGTACATGCCAACTGGAACGAGATATTTCATGAGAAATGTCTAATAAAAGCTAGTTCTCCTGGTTTCCATTTTGGTATTACCATTATACAAAGAAAATTATCTTCACATTTGCTATATGGTAGTACAATTTTTATGTAAAATTTGAGGATAATTAAGGATTGTACTTATGCCTTGGGAATGGATTTTGGCTGTGACTTTGCATTTTTCAGAAAATGTTCCACATTTGCTGCCATTCTGAAATATTTGGAAACCACAAGTGGGAATTCAGTTCCTTCAACATCTGAAGGTTTAATTGTTTATCTTTCTGGCTTGAAACCAGCACATTCCTGGGATAGGTTGTCAGGGGTTCTCTTATAAGCTCAACATCCAGAGTAGCTCCCCTGAATCAGTAGGAAGGAAGAGGCTCTTTCCTCAGGGGTATGAAATTCACCCCATTAGCTTTATGTGGTGCCCCAAGCCTGTGCTCTGTCTCGTAATGCAGTAGCATCAAGATGTCAGCTTGGTAGCCTGTAGGCTTGCAGAAGATGACAAGGATTCACCAGGTGTGTCCGCGCGCATAGGGCTAGCCTTTTTCTTCCTTGTAAGATAGTTACTTTTAATAGAACTGCAACTGACAGTAGGTGCCATCAGATCCATTAATAGTGTACTAGAATGGAAAGGTTTTTTTGGCACTGACATTGCAAGCTTTGTTATATACTCTTTGTTCCATAATAATTCGGTTTGGAATATTTTTCTCTTATCAGTTTCCTTTTCCCTTCTTCAGTTTATGTTTTGCTGCCATTAAATTAATTAAAGTGTGATGGACCCACAACATTGCATGCCACTCCATATGGAAATGGCGACCGTTCAAGAATAAGCAAGGCACTGCCCTTGTCCAGTACTTCCCTAAGGTGTGTACATTATGTGAAATTCAAGTCTACAGTTACCGGATGCCAGTGTCATTGTCTTGGAAATGTGACCTTGGCATTACACAAGGTAGGCAAGCAGACACTGCATGTCTGGAATGTTGAGTGTGCAGTACAGGTTGCATTGTTCCTCCTTGTTCCTAACTTCTACATGTAAGATCCAAGATGATGATGCTGTATTAATAATAATAGACTACCAACAAGTTGTCAGCAATCTTTGTATTTGTTCCTACATAAAGAACACGTCTTAACTGCTTAAGTACAGATATTTATTTTTTATTGCTAGTGGGGTGGGACTAAGTCCCTTGTACTGTGGCCACTTCTGGCCTACTGTACCAGCCCCAGATGATAGGTGAGGGTGATTGTGGAGCAATTGATGGAATGAAGATTGGCAGGTGAAACCGAAGTACTCGGAGAAAACCTGCCCCAGCGCCACTTTGTCCACCACAAATCCCACTTGACCAGACCCGGAATCGAACCCGGGCCGCCGCGGTGGAAAGCCAGTGACTAACCGCTTGAGCTATGGGGCGGCCTAAGTACAGATAACAGAACATTTAAAAATGCTCTGTTTTGCAGAGTCAGTATTTGGGGAAGAACGCAAGCAGAAACTACGTCATAAAATCGAGGAAAAGTAAATTCAGGATATGCCTTCTATCATTGCATCTATTTTCCAAAATGCTAAGCCCCAACATATATAGAAAATACAATTTGTCTCTGGTTATGAAACACGGTTTCTTGCTGTGAGGGAAGAACATGCAAGTCATTACAAGCATTTAAACAGTCTGTGTTTAGCTCTTGTTCCGTTACCATCTTAGTGATCACACGTTTTTCTAAACTTGTGTTCAGACATATTATTTGTGATTTTCTTTTGTGCAAAGTTTAATAACCCTTGCAAAAATATCCCCGAAGAAAAAGCCGTAAAAAACAGCCATAAGAGAATAAAAATAACCGTAGAAATTAAACGTAAAATCATTGAAAAGTGAGAATGAGGTGTGAGCGTGGCTGATGTAGCACGCACATACAATCGGTCTACATCAACGATTTGCACTATCCTCAAGAACAAGAACAAGATTACGGAGATAGATGCTTCAAAGGGAGTGACAAGAATATCTACGCAACGGTTACGTATTCTCGACAATGTTGAAAGGCTGATTCTCATATAGATTTTTTTTTCTGCAAATCCAATTCGCATTTCAGGTTGGTTCATTCCGCATAGAAGAAAAGATGAAGATGATTCACGCTCCTTAACAATGTATATTTAATTTTCTTTGAATAAACGTTATACATAAAATTGTTTTGAGTATTTTTTTCGGCATGGAATGCATTATCTTATTTTACATTAATTTAGATGGGAAAAATTGTTTCGCTTAACGAGTGTTTCACATTACGAGTAAGATTCTGGAACGAATTATGCTCGTTAAGCGAGGTTTATAGAGTACCCAGAGGGCTCTGTTCCCCAGCAATAACCAGGCCTGGTTGTGGAGCCGGCTGAGGTTGAGAACAACATGAATTTGTACCTTCCATTCTCCATATGCCTTCATGGCATGGTGATTAATTAATTAAGTATAGGGACTTTACCTTTCAGACTAATCGTCTTTACAAACACTGAAATCAATATTAAGGTTTTACAGCTTGTCTTATCTCTGAACTGGCACAACAGTTTCAATGTTCAAATAACATGTAACACAAAAATATTATCTTTTTTTTTTATGAAGAATGAACATAAATTTGAATACATTCAGGGCCACACTGGATAGGTATTTAGTACGTATCCTCAGAGTCATTCTGGAAAGTTTAATGTTATCCATTTTTCTTGGTCTTCCAAGTGATCACTTTCCTGTAGAATATTATATGAATTTCTTGCCTTTATACTCAGCTTATCATGACCTCAATGATTTCAGTGCTACGATAGTATTAGGTGAGCTATAAAAGACAAGTCCATCAACATATAAATTAGTCAAATCACATCACCCCTCTTCAGTCAACATTTTTCTGAGCGCAGAGGGATCAGCCGCCATGTGGAAGTGGCAAGGCAGAAGAAATACAGCAGGAAGGTGTCCCGCCGTGCAACAGTGGCATGGCGTCGGAGGAACATCTTCAGGAAATGTTGGACCGGAGGAGATTATGTATCCCGGATGAAGTTGGCTGCCACCTGCAGGAAGATATCCCGTTGCGCAACAGTGGCACGACGTTGGAGAAATGCCTTCAAGAAGGAAACTCCCCAGGGAACCTTCAGATGCCGGAGAAAGGACTTGGCGCCACGGTCTCGTGCCAGCAAGTGGCGGGAAGACCAGGAGGAACAACGACGTCAGCAAGTGCGGACCACATCGGAAGTGCTGTTACGTCGACATAAAGAACTTCTCAGGGACGACATACACAAGGATTGGACATTGTGGAGGGGTCGACCCCCTCTGAAACGGAAAAAATGGAAGAGTACACAGGAGGAACCGGTAACATAGAAGTACCGGCCTCCCGAAGAAGACTGAATGTGCGACGAATGAATGTGATACAACCGGATCTTCTGGCATGTTGGAAGGAAACCGCTCGAGACGAGCTGGTCTTAAGAAGGGAGCGGTTGTAACGGCCGGATAATAGTCGCTGCGAGGAGTAGCAAGCGAGTGTTAGTGTGTGATCAGGAGTGACGATGTTGGAGTATAGCAGCAGTTGCGGAAAGAAGAACCGGACGTGTGTGTAATTGTGTAATTGGGAGTGTGTGATACAGGGACACTTACATAGTTCACGTGCTGTGAATACGTGTAGACTACTGAAGATAGAGTGAACAGATTATTGCGAATAGGGTTATAAAGTGTGAAACCCCACAACAGTGTTATAATCAATTGTAGTTACGACTTGTATATTGTTAAATAAACCAATTAACAATCCGAATGGCGTCTTCAGTAACTAAACACGTTACACTAATGTGAAGTGTTGCGCCATGGAGGACACCCCCTCCCTCCCCCAGCAGTGGCGTAGTAGCTCTGGCCACGATGACGTAGCCCCCCCCCCCCGGCTACGTGGCACCGCTTCCTACTGTGACGAGACACGCAACGCAGCTGTGACACGGTCAACAGGCAACAGCGAACGGAGTAAACAGCGGTTGCTAAGCAAAGCGGGTAAACAGTGGTTGCGAGAGACGACGGTAATAACAGCGGTACCCATTACGTAACAGGCAAACACGGCGTCAGACAACAGTGGTGCCTATTACGTAACTGTTGTCCCCTTGTCCTGCTGAGGGCTTATAAGGGAACTACACAGCCGCCGAAGACAGTTCTCAAGTTAAAGTGTATCAGCGGCTGAAGAGAGTTCTCGAGGCAGCAGCCTACGAGTTGAGTTGGAATCTAGCCAGCAGTGAGCAGTAAGGAGTGTGTTGAATTGTAGTAGTCACCGATTTCAGTTGTAACGAGTGAATCGTGATAGTGTGAAGAGATTTGGTTGTAGGGTTTGTAAAGTGTGGAAACCCGTAACATTGTTATAAGTAATTGTAGCCGATACTTGTAGGTTGTTGAATAAACCAATTGGCTGCGAGCCAAAAAGGAAGGACACATCACAGACACAGTACACACAGAAACGACTCCCATAGTGGACGAACCATACTATACGCGAGTTTGAATTTAGACATATAGATGAATAATCTTAACAATTTTTAGTATATACAAATTTTATTATAGTTGACGAATAATGTATATTCTAAATAATTTTATGAAAGACACAAGATGGCAAACAATGTAATAGCTTAGCGAAAATAACGAACCTGAAGATGGCACTATGTTGCCGAAAATGTAGTAAGAAGCGACATATGAAACTGAGTGCACTACAAGACGGCCATTACATACGTATCATGGATGCAAATCAGTAATAATTATCTTTTGTAAATAGAATCTTCAAAAACAGTAATTTATCCTCTCGATTTTAGCGATGCTTGTCAATTATTACAGATTGCTGTTTCCTGTCTTATCCGTACATACTGAAATTACTAAAATTAAAATTTCTTGGTTGGAATCGAACGTTGTTGAACATTTTTCCATTAGAGCTACCAGCGTCGGAATTATAATCGCTAGTAGAAGTGAATTATTTAGTATAGATAGCAGCAGCATTCTCTTTTCTCGTCAGCGTAACTCATCCTGTTGTAGGTGATCTGTGGCGATCTGTGATCGTTTATAACGTTTTTTTACTCATCGTGGTCAAAGCTGTGGCTGTTATTTGGCGAAGTGCTGTTAGTGTTGGACTAATACGAAGTTTGTAAGTAATTTTGTTTTGAGTAGAAATATAGTATAGTAATCTGTTGATTGAGCAGTTTATTTCCGAAGGAAGCCCTGTTAACTTTAAAGGTGGCGTATGATGTGGTTTTGATGTGCAATATAGGGCAGAAGGAACAATAAATTTGCTGGAATGTCGAGTCGGTAGTTGTTTGAACAAAAAAAAAACATTTGGTAAGGTTATTTCATGATGTAGTGCAGACTTTTTGTATTTCCACCAGTAGGATAAGTGTAATAGTTGTCTGTTCAGATCTTTGCCGTGTAACCAACATGGCAGAAGTCTGGCTGAAAATACCAGTCACATACAGCACGTAAAATCGAATGCGAGTGGAGTGCAGTTGTAGAAGTGGTATGCGACCTGCTACTGCAGGCAACTTGTTCAGTGCTTATAAAAGTAATTAGTTTTGTAGAGCATCCAAATGGAGATGGTTATGGCTTTGTTTGCTGCCTGCTTGACACTGGTTGCTTGCTTAGCTAATTCTTCAACTCCCCAAGATGGAGGTGACATATTCCTCCAAAATGTCAGTTGACTTTCAGCGGACTACATGGCGTTATATCGCAGAAGATAGAAACTCTTCAGAACTACCGCTATGAGATCCTGAAATCCTGCATGGTTAATTCAGATTTGGAGCAATGTTTTCTATTTCATAGAATTCTGGACGATGGAAAAAGTCCACAAACCCAGTAATTATGTCAGCAATGTTATGGTGACAAGAATGCTGCATTTGCAGGATGGTAGGAGATGCAGGAAGTAGTTTTAACTGCAATAATTAGCATAGTAGAAGGTAAAGTTAACCCAGTGGCTAATTAACACTGAGCAAGGATTTGGATGTAAAACTCTATGCTTTTTTGATTGAGTAGGTCAGTTTTTGGCAGTAGTGCTGTAGAATTTTATCAGGAAGTTCTCAGTCCCAAATCATATCTGGTGAATGGGCCATGCTGACTGAAGTTTTTCATGGTTTTCCTATTCCTCTAGGCATATGTCAGGATAGTACCCAAGACGGACCATGATCATTATCTTCAAGTTTATCACTCACCAGTTTCCCCACCATTGGGACACTGCCAGCATTGTAAAATAAACCATTCATGCATTCTCAGCTGTCAGCACTAGATGCAGCCTCATATTGAGGGAAGTGTGCTCAGAATTAGTTCCACAGTATTTTGGATATTGTTATTTAAAAGAAACCATAAAATGTCGTTGCCTGTAGTATATTGAACTAGTTTACAATATTATATTTAAGCATCCTGTTGCACTCCATACGATAAATGATATAATGATACAAACTCCGTCTCAAGTGCAAACAATATATTTTGTGTCTTTGATCTTGCTCCCCTACACTACATGTTTTGGCCTCAGACGGCCATCATCAGGTGTATAACACTCACGTCGCTGTCACACTGCACCCAGCTCAAAATTTAACATTTAAAAACACTTTCCTTGTTATTATCAACTTCTACTTCGTTGATAACTGTCTGGTTTGTATATATATATATATATATA